AACTTCGTTGGTTTCCAGTCCTGTACTTTCATTGAATTGCTTTTTAAACATTTAAAAATAGTCATTACCCCTCACCATAACAATGCAAGGATTTTTTTTTGCTGCAAACTCGTCTATTGCTGGGAAATGCTTATGTCGGTCAGATTCTGTGTGGAGCAAGGTCGAGGATAAGAGGCCACGACATACATGTTTAGGCTTCTATAATAAACTTATCCCAAATAGAAGACCATTTCCCAGATTATCTATGCGTAGCGATGTTGAACACCGACTTTGTCTTCTGCAAAGTCTAAATCCATATTTTCCAAATTTCTATGCAAGTTCTATTTAGTCCGATTCTCAACGGTTTTCAGAAATAAGCTCAAGAAAACCCGAGACTCATTAACTGTGATGTTGGATCGCACCTCCGGGCTCACCTGTTCATTTCGCACCCGGGAAAGAAAGAGTGCGGCTTGAAACGCGCCATGCAATGCAGCCTGATCAATAGCTGGAGCAGTGCAATCTTCTGGCGATTCAAATGTAGCCACTCTATGACGTGTACGTGGTTACCTATCGCAGCATCAATCATTGCCTCATGTGAGCAGCCCTCGCTTCGATGTCGATGTAGCCACTTCACGACGTTCAAATGGCCCTTAATAGCTACCAAATCCATTGCTTCGTGTGTACAACCTTCTTTTCTCAGTGTGTAAAGCCATGTAACACTTTTCAAATGGCCGTTCTCGGCTACACCATCCATTGCCGCAGTGGTGCAGCCTTCAGTGTAGCCACTTGCCAACATCGAAATGCCCCATCGGGACAGCAAAGCCCATCGCATATGTAGTGCACCCAGCACTCGTGTGTGAATGAAGCCACTTCACCAGCTCAAAATGTCCTCCTGGAGCAGCTCCGTCCATCGCAGCTGTTGAACAGCTCTCGGAACGATTAGCATGTAGCCATTGTACTATGTCGAGGTGTCCATTTGCAGCCGCCAAGTCCATGGCATCCAAAGAACATCCCTCAGTCCGATTGCTATGAAGCCACTTAACCACGCTCAAGTGATTGTTGCCGGCGGCTTCGTCCATTGCTCTTTCTCAGCACTCAAGGCTACTGCCAGTAGACCTTTTATCAAAAATTGTAGCGTCCAGCTTTTCCAATGAACTTTGAGGCTTTTGCTTTCTTTGAAAATCCGCATTAAGAGATGGAGCCATTTGATGAAAATATTTTACAACCTCCAAGTGGCCATTGCTTGCCACTTCGTCCATCACTCGTATCGTTTGTCCATCCGGATTGAACAGATCAATCATTCGGTTGCAGCTAAACTCGAAGCAGAGCCACTGTACCACTTCCAATAACCCTTTTCTGGCGACTATGAGCATCGTTTTATTCGAAATTCGGCTTGCTTGATGGTCATTCCCAAGCTCTTGATCGAGCTTCTCCAAGGTGTAACGTCTTCGTTTGCTTTCGGTCTTTTCCTCCTTCTAAGAGGCCAGTCTACACGTGCATGGAGATATTTGGCTACATCCAAGTGGCCGTTGACGGCTGCCGTATGGATGGACAGCGTTGCTTCTCCGTCAGTTGGTGATCATATAAGGTGGCATCTCTTGGTTATACGAGCTTCTATACCCCATCTAATAATCATCGTCGCTGTATCTCGCAACATCGTTGCTGTCGGCATCTTAATTGCTCCAGTTAAACTCAATGAGCCATCGGACGATATCTAGATGTCCATTCTTCGCTGCCTTGACCATCACTCTGTTGCACTTTGTAGATTTGCTGAGGAATTTGCTGGCAAGAGAAGACCGACTTGATAACTAGAAGAGAAAATTGAAAGTGAATTGATATTTAGCTTGTTCACAACTGCTAGTCCAGCCCCTCACGTCCTGTACTAACCTCAACCGTCTTGTGAGCGTTGCTTCACACGCAATGCTGGTGTCTCCTGATGGCACCAGCATATCTCAGTATGCACCTCACTGTGACCACCTGATTTAACTGGGGCAATCCTAAGGTCCACCACAAGAAGACTATCCTCCCGCTTGTTTGTCGTCTTCCACGCGAGCAGGTGGCACACGTTTTGCCATTTTCAACACACTCCCGGAGGAATCTGTCCAGGTCGAACCATCATTTCCAACAAGAACAAATGGCCGTTTGCAGCAGCCATTTCTTCCCCACATAGTGGGATTCGTACAGCTTCATGTTGTCATTGCACCAACTTTACGTCCCCACGAGCCACAACAGCTTTCATACTGTCATTATCGAACTGATCGTACTCTGTATCGAATTGATATAGCCATTTCACGATACTTCTTTGGCCTCCTGAGGCGGCGTTCGCAGTGTCCTTGCCGCCCCAATGAATGTATCGAGGCTCTAAGCCCATATCTACGCCCCTTTTAGCAACAGAATTCGAGTACGAGTCGCTCTTACAAAAATATTGCAGGATATCCATGGCCCGCTGCTGTAGCCTCCTCTACCACTTGCACGCACACGCCACGTTCGGGGAAATGTTCGAAAATCCACTAGACCATCGGTAAATCTCTGTTCTTGCAGGTCTCAACTAGCGAGAGCCAGAACGCATGCTCTTTGTAGCTTTCTTTTTCGAGAAGTGGGCGCCGTGCGGACCAGAATGGGCTTTCGGACGTCTAGACTTCGCCAAATGCGGTTGAGCAGCGCTACTGACCCGAGTGACGACGCTTTTTCAAGAGGCAATAGGAGAGAAGAGTCCAGGAAGAGCGACACCGTGCCCACGACATGAGGTAGGGCCTCGACGCCACGCTTGCATCGCACAGACAGCAGCGGATCTTGTGCCATTCTAGCGTTGCACAAAAATCGAACAAACAATTATTTTTAATTGATTAATGTAAACAATACTAAGTCTAAGCTATGTTTTTTGCACTTTAAGTGTGTAAATAAAAAAAATTGGCATACAAGAGATGGAATTCCTAGGCGGTCGGTGGAGTCATCTCTGCTTCATGTTATTGACTCTTTCGAACCCCAGTAGTGCTGTGCGCGACTACAAACTCCGAAATCGTCTCTCACTCCCCAATTTTCATGTTAGTGACGCCAGCTTCAACTCTGCGCGGATAATTGGTGGCTATGACGGATAGCGTGTCATCTACAGCAAAATATGTACTCCACCCAAGTGGGACGGTATTCGACTCGAGAATACTACTACATGTATTTTTCGCAAAGATCAATGCTTGCATCGCCTTCGCGGGGAGCCAGAAAACCCACCAAACTGATCATACACCACCCAGCTTAAAAAAAAAACTATCTCGGATCGGTCTCTTGTCAGCTTAAAGTTATTTCTGTCGACCTTTGTTCCACAGTTTTTTCCATCCTGATTGAGGTCAAGAACATTATCCAACGCGAGTTCACCTGGACCGTTCGTTTGAGTTTTGCGTCACTCATGATTTTATTTTCATCACCGCAAGTTTAACTTGAGCTTCGCGGAGTTTTGCCTCTAAAATGCCGATCCGATCTAGGGTTTCGTGCTCCAGCAGAAACACAAACCTGGCAAACCAGGGGGTCTAGATCGTCATCACTTAGCTGAGAATATATTTGTTTTACGTGCCATTTCACAAGTAGTAGAATGTACAGGGCCAGTTAGCAGAATCAACAAACATTTTGCAGAAAATCTCGTAGCCGATTTAAAAGTCAGAAGATACCAAATGATTACAACAAAGTTCAGCATCGCTTAGAATGGCTACCGGTAGTTCCCGTTAGTAGCACCGCCCTGAGCCATTGATGCATCGTGATGCTGAATTGATACTTTCATTCTGTTGAACTTTGACATTAAAGTAGTCATTACAATGTATTGCAGTGCGCACAAACTGACTAGGGTTGTTCGTGTATGCTAATGCTGTTCAGGTACAGGTCATGAGTGCTTTCGAGGCTGTGTATTCTGTTGGTTGCTACGACTGCAAATTGACTGGAGCAGGAGAGTAGTTAGGAAGGTTTCACCCGGCTGATCTCCGCTTGAGGGGGTCGGAACGGTTTTCTCCTTCGGCATTCCAAAATACACGAACTCCTGCTCACCAGAACAACGTTCAGAACAATACATTCCGCGTTTCAATCGACTCGCGTGCCGCTTCCTTCCAACGCCGACTTGGTGGTCAATTTGTGGGAATCCAATCGCATTTCTTTGTGGGGTTGTCCGTTTCTGGAAAGATGCAATCGCTGATCGGATCTGCATTCTTTAGGATGGACCAATGAGTGTGCTTCCATTCTTGTGTTAGAAAGCCGTTATTCAAGTTAACTCTGTACTCTAGCCAGTGTTAAGAATTTGACGCCAAGAAAGTTAAGGTCGACATCACTACTTTACATAAATGAATGTCCGGTCTTGACATCTGATCTGAACAAACGTTACATTTTATAAAACTCACATGCGGTAGTTCTCAGTATGCACAACCTGAATCTTTTTGTGGACAGCTGGCACCTCTCAAGAATCATGTCCCTGATAGTGATCTCCTTAAAAAATAATTGCTCCACGACAACAGTTGAACATAAAGAAAAACAAAATAATTACATGATAGACCAGCTATACCTCTAACTATATCTTATCCCCTTGTTACGGAGACTAGTAAGGAGAAATTACAGTTATTCAGAGTTGTATTATACACAAAAGTA